GTAATCAGTTATGCACCCTCTTGGTCTCTCAAAGACTAGTGTCTAAGTTTCCAATTTGACCCTTATTACAATTTGAAACAAAATCAAACTAAAGCTCATTAATTGATTAATTTAAAACATAATTTGGTCAACCAATTTTACAAAAGATTGAACTATTATTTAAATAAATTTAAAGACTAAATAAAGTGACGCATTACGTAATTCACAACTTTGGTCTTTTCTCCTTGAAATGTGGGATTGTATTAAAATAATATGGATAACACTTGTTGAAGAGTTTCCTTTGCTTCCTTTACTTTAACCTTTGTCATAGGTCCTCCAAGTCCTTCAAGTGGATCCTTATCCTTGCTCATGGTCATTCCCCATCAGTTTTCGTGTGCACAATATTTTCAAAAAAATGGTCACCAAACAATTGGTGATAACCTTGTTCTTAATTTTGATGAACCACCTTTTTTTTATACCATCATCAATGTTATTAACTTCTTGTTGATACTGATGTATTAAGCTCATGACTTCTTTATCATTGTTGTCTTCAAGTTTTTCATCTCAACTTGATTTAACAATGTGTTTAAATCGATATTTTCAAGATCCATTATATGAATGGTTAAAGTGTTTGAAATAAGAGAATAATATTGTAAGATTTTATAAGATTTGTTAATGAGATAACATTTCATATAACTAGTTTTTTCAATGGCTAATTTTCATAATGACTAATTTTCACAATGGTTACTTTTTATAAGATTAGTTTTCATAACAATTACTAGTTCATAACAACTATATTTCTAATAAAACTTTGTCATAACAACTAGTTTTATAATGGTTAATACATTTAAAATCCTTGTTTCTTCCTAATATAATCACATGTTTTTCATGATCTTTGCATTACTTCTCAGACATGTTTTTTATAACAATTTCATTTTCCAAACTTATTTTTTAGTATTTCTTTAACTCAATAAATTCATTATATTTGTTTTTATTTTCCTTTATTACATTTTCTATGTCGGAAATATTAATATAGGGACTAACTATTAACTTTTCCTTTGCTTTTTCTATTGATTGCCTTTTGTCCTATAAGGCGGGATGTTAGTAATGTTATGTCACATGGTTCATATGTCACATGGTTCAACTTTTAATGAGTGTCTTTGGGTTAGAAAATGAATCTTAGATCCTTTTGAAGAATCATTCACAAATATTGAGTGTCATTTTGGTTCATCTTTCAACAATAACCGAACATGTTTATATTCAAACTTTTTCTTTTCAAATTTTCTGTAAAAATCTTATGTGTGAACAACATAACATCCTTCTTGACTCAACTACTTAATTAAAGACTTGTTTATAGCATGCGTCAAACATTTGAACTGGGAATAAAATTTACTTCATTAATATTTTAATTGATTGATTATCCTCTTTGTGAAAGCGTTGCACTCATTATTATTGTTATATACTTCTTTTATCATCTCTTAATATTAAGTTTAATGACTTATCAACTCCAAGAATTGGGTTGTTCAATACACTCAACCGTGATTGAATTAGAATTATGTCCTCTATGTTATATGAAGTTTCTTCTAAGTTATGTTGATTTTTGCTATTAGCTTAGATATAGCCTTGTGATGAGATTCTATTTTCATGATGTTTTGAGGGTTGCTCTCAACATCATCTTCATGGACTGAAAATTGATACCTTAAAGGAAACTGGTAACTTGAGAGAGATTGATACCTCGAGGGAGATTTTGGCTTTACAAAACATGTAATTGTCTTTCTAACTCTTCGTTATGTTTTCTGAAGGCTTCCATTCCTTTTTTGTGCTTTTTCTTAATTCACTCATTCCTCTCGATTTAATTCTACGATTTCAATAATATTTGCTCAAATATTTATTTCATCCTTTTGTTGTAGTCCTCCACGTGAGATTTCGAGTTGTACTGATTGTATCCATGTCAATGTTGGATGAACTAACTTGATTATATGTTTGAACAGTCGAAAAGTTGATCTAGATGACTTCTACCTTTATATTTATTGAGTCAAACTCTCATTGGTGCTAAAAAAATTCAAAATTAGAAAATATTTTTATGCTTAAATTAGTATAAGAAAAGGATAATATAAATAAAATAAAAGCATGTATAAATGAGATGATAGTAGATAATAAAATAAGTTTATTTATAGGCATGTAACCAAGTTAATTTAAGTAATAAAAGTTATATCTATTTTAATCCCATTTAATCTCTTAATAATTTAATATTTTTTATTTATAATTAAGTAATTAGATAAATTTATTTTATATACTATCTTTTTATTAAATATACAATTAAGATAATTAAATAGAAAAATATTCTCATTTAATATTATGCAAAAAATTTGAGCAGATACAACATTTAACCTTATAAAATAAAATATTTAATTTTATAATTTATTATCTTAATTATCAATCTTTATAATTCTGTGTTTTCAAACTTCAATATTTAAATTAAATTATTTCTTACTGCATGATTTTGATTTATTTATATATTTATAAAGAGATTCACTTATCACTACAAGAAAAAACACATTTAGCTACTGAAATTAGTGACCGAATATTTTTGGTCGCAAATAGCGATCGATTTAACTCGGTCGCAATTAGCAACCGATTTCATTCGGTCGCTATTAGCAACCGATTTCATTCGGTCGCTATTTAGCGACCGAATTAATGCGGTCACAATTTAGCGACCGATTTAGCCACCAAAATATAATTTGGCTTCACATTTTTTAGTTAGCGACCGAAATAGCGACCAATAGTTTGCGTCGCAAAATTTCGGTCGCTAAATCGGTGGCTATTCCACACTAAAATAAAAAAATCATTTAACGATCGATTTAGCGACCGAATTACAAATTGAAATAGTGACCGAATTAAAATCGGTCGCTAATGAGAAAATAGCAACCAAATTGAAATCGGTCGCTAATGAACATTATTTTTTTATTATATTTAAATTTATTTTTTTATAAATATACTTTAATTGTTTTAGTATATTTTTTACAATTTATTTTTTAAAAGTAATTTATTTTTTAAAAATAATTTAATTTTTAAAATATACCTTAAAAATAAACTTTGGTCTCAATATTAACAAAATGAAGATTAACTTTAATTTTAAATTACTAAAATAAAAATATTATTAAAAATAAATCAAATTTATTAAAAATTTAAATTGTAATAAATTAAGACTAGAGTAATATTAACTATTCAATACATGGTTTAAGAAAAGTTTAATAATAAATGTTCTTTAATTTATTTTTCAATTGAAAATTTCAATTGAAATTAAATTATATTTTAAAAATTTATATTAAAAAAATTAAACACATCAAATTATCACATTTTAATTCCTCATTAACTTAATTAATTAAAAAAATAAAATTTTAATCAAATTATTACAATTTTATTTTATAAAACTTTATTTTTAATCTAATTTTTAAATTTATTGCTTTATTATTATTAATTTAACCATGGTTATTTTCATATAATTGATTTATTTTCATAATCTTCATTTATAATATGTACTTGGAGTCTTTATGTTCGTTTGTTTATTTTCTAGTTTCCAGAGAGATATATACGACAAGACCAAACAAAGTTTAGAAATAAATTAAAAAATATAATTATGAATTTTATATAGAATAAATAAATTGAATCCCGTGGAGTTTAAAGCTAGTGGTTGATATTATATAATCTACTCAGTTTTAATCATAAAATTAAACTTATAATTTTGATAATTTATATAATAACTTTCATTAAATTATCATGAAAAATTCATTAAAATCTATAAATACTCTATAATATTATTTAATAAGAATAAAATAATTAATATTTAGTATTTCATAACATTGAGAAAAGTAATTATTTTAAATTAAATATCATTTTTATTGTTTAACTTTTTTCTAATATAAGTTTATATTTTATTAATTAATATTATATATTATATATTATATATTACGTTAGGATTATAAAACCGATCGAGTTTAATTTAATAATCAATAACCAATCCAAATTGAATTGAAATAAAACTAATATATATATATATATATATATATATATATATATATATTTGAAATTAAATATAAGATAATATTTTGTGAATGGGTAAATTAATTTTTTATAATTTAAAAAATATATTATTATTTTTAAATTGAATTATAAAAATAAATTAAAATTATAAATAATTATATATGGTATTTTTAATATATTTTTTATTAAATAATATTATTTTATCATAATATATTTAATAAATTTATAATAACAAAATCATTTAAATTAAAGGATAAAATATTAATTTAATTTAATTTAGATTTCTTAAAAATAAAAATCAAATAACATTTAAATTCTATATTTGATTAGGATATTTTTTAATGAAAAATGGAAGCATACCACACCCCACCATCAACACTCCGGGGACCCATGATATGATTTAGAGCCCTACGCGTGAGGAATTTGGAAAGAATTTGGGTAGTGCAGTGTGGCGAATAAAGTCGCTTCATTATTTGCGCATCTTCACATATTCTAGAAAAAGTTCTTAAAAATACTCACATTTTAATGTTCAAATTTAAAAATATAATATTTCATAGGTTAAAATAAAAGTTTAATTTCTTTTTAGTTTGTGAGTAAAAATACCATTTATCTGATTCTAAAGTTTTTGTTGTTGAAAGTCTCAAAATTGTATGGTTTAAATACCAAATTTTAATAGAAATAAACAAAGAGATTAGTCTGGTCTGTTTGGTTTGCCAGCACATTTATAACAGTTGTTGAGAATTACTTTTCTTCTACAACCTCGAAAGAACTAAACTTTATGACTTTATGGCGAACATACTGTTTACATTTGAGGTTAAAGAATTAGATTCGACTTTTAACGTTGAGAGAATAAAGAAAGTGTTTAGCCCTAGTGTGTGTATAAATACCCGCACCTACCAAACTTCAATCTCGTGCTTGTGCCATTATAGCCAGTAGTGACCGTGAGTGTTTCCCAGCACAAACAAACCCATCTCAACATGGAATATAACCGCTTTTCAGGATATGAGAGAGAGCCTATTGGTTACTCAAACTACAGACCAGTTGCTCACCGTGAGGTCACCGAGAAGGTTGTTTATGAGGAGGATGTGATTGGGGGAGAAGGGCGCCCCCACATGCATAACCACAACCACCACCACCACCACCCTGAGACCCGTGAGAGAGTGAAGGTGGTGGAGTACGAGGAAGTTCCTGAGAGGCGCATGGGTGAAGTTGTGTACGAAGAGAGTAAAGTGGCTTATGGCAACGATCGATACTACCTTCCAAGGTATTGAATGTTGCAAAAATGGAAGAAACCTAAACCTACCAACTGTTATCATGTGGCTATGAATTTCCGTAGCAGGGTTACCTAATTAACCAACCTAGTATATCAAAATCACCAGTAGTGTGCTTTTGTATTAAATAAGTTCCTGCTTTGGCTAGCCCTTATGTTATAATCATATCTCCTCATTAATAAATAAATCTATGTTAATTAATATATCTATTGTCTCTGTTTGAATTTGGGTTTATTGTTTATACTACATCGCCGCAATTTCACGTATTTTACACATAAATAATATATTTTAAAAAATTACTTAAATAAAAAGAATAATTACTTAAATAAAACTTATATTCATTTATTTATTGTAAAAAAGTTTAATGATTTTAATAAATTTTACTTTTATATTTTTACGAAATTTTAATCACCAATAATGAGAGGAGAGGAGAAACAATTATAAGAGAGAGGGAGATAATAAATTATTGTTTTTATTTATTGTGTGGGAGAATCTTATTTTCCATAATTAAATTTTGTATATAAATGGTAAACTATGCTCTATTATTTCATAAGTTTCTAAAACAGTTATTAAATTAATCTAAATAATTAGTCATCAAATTACTTTGATTTGATATTCTAATTTAATTTTGTTTTTTTTAGTGACTAATTATTTTAATTTTAAAATTATAAATTCATATATTTTTTTATAAAAGCATTATAAATCTGATCTTTTTAGGCTTATTTATTGTTAAAATATTTCAATTAATAGATTTATGTAAATACAATGAAAGAATCCTATTAGTTGGGTGTGAAAGAAGAAATGTAATCTGAATTGGTGTTGTTTTTTTAATAATGATACTCTCACAAGTATTTACAATCCTTATATTAATATAATATTAATTAAGTTATCAAATAAAGATTTATTATTATAAATAAATTGTTATGTTATTGTTTTTTAAAAATTAGGTTATCATATAGTAGTTTAGTTTTTTTTTTAATAAACCAATAATAACATTGGTGTAGGGATACGTGAAACCAAATAAAAAAGAGAGAAAATACAAATGTAAACTTTTAAATGTTCTTTAAAATGGAAATTCAATCTATCATCTATTTAGTTCTTATCCTATCAGTCCAAACCAATGAAAAAACACCAAATTAATAAGTTATATTTAAAATATACAATCAGATATGAAAATCAATTTTAAATTTGACCAATGAGTAAGATGAAAGTAAGATTTAATGCATATAGTTATATAAAAAGTGGACATGTTTGAGTTTTCTTTTTGTGTTTATTTTTTTAAAAGGAAAGTTCCTTCTCGGTGTTTTTTGGGAATAGTTTTAATCTTAATAAAATTAATAAGTTTAAATTAGTTATTTAATTTTGTGAATCTTATTAGAGGTGTCTATGGTTGGTTTGTTTAGTTTTTTATCACATAATCATTCTAACTAAACATAAAAATTCAATGTGATTTAATTTAATTTTAGTTTTAATTTAATTTAAAATTCAAATCAAATCCAATACGATTTCATTTAGATCAATTTTATGGTTTTATAAATTGTTAAATATTTCATAATAAAAATTTCATAAATAAAGAGATATATTATATAATTATTATTATTATTATTATATTTATAATTATAAAAATTTTATATTTATAAAAAAATATACAATCTTATAATTAAAATTATAATCTAAATTTAGTATAATATAATAAATAATTATAAATGTATTGTAAATAAAATATAATCAAACTATAAAATCATCTTTAAAAATTATAATAGAATAACTCATTTTAAACGTGTAATAGGTAGTTTGGTTCCAATATTAGTTTCTCATCTAAAATCTGAGTTAAACAGAGTGATTTAGAAAGAAAAAAATGGATTAAAAATTTTCAATAAAATTTGATTTTAATCAAATTTTGAATTTTTTTATTTAATCGGTTTTGAATATATCTTATCATGTTGAGCAGACTTTTTTTTCTCAAATAATAATATGATTAAAAAATGCTTAACTTAATTTTGTAATATATATATATATATATATATATATATATATATATATATATATATATATATATATATATATAATATATATGAGAGTAAGGTTGCATTATTTGTATGTCTTTTTTCACATAACAATTTTTTTTTCTCAAATTTTATTTTGATAATTAATTATTTAGTTTCAAAATTTTATCTCTTTAATTTTGTTAAATAATATATATATATATATATATATATATATTTAACTATGATAATATTTTTACTATATTTTATTTATAATTATTTGACAATAATAATATATATTCTTTATGTGTGTATATCATGAAGAACGGCAATCCGAGAAAGGAATATTAAATAATAATACGTCATTATTTATTTAAAATTTATCTTTATTAAGCATAAGTTTAGTTATTAAACATAACTCAGACTTAAAGTGATTAAATTTAATATAATTTAGTTGTTTTTAGTTATATATATATATATATATATATATATATATAAATTAAACTTACACTTTTAATATTAATGTGTGTATATATATATATATATATATATATATATATACACACACACCTTTCATTTGCCAAAACAACATATAGATAAGATAATAGTTGAAATTGTGAATCATTTTTAAAATTGCATGATAAAAGTGAGGATGGTATTTTGTCGCTCTTCATGTTATGGGATATGAATTAAACCAAACAAAAATATAATATAAAAGCATAAAAATGCTAAGTAACGTCTTAAACTTTGACAGAATCGATACATTATTAATTAGGTTTTCTCACCAACTAGCATGCATGTGGTCAGAATTTCAAATTCTAGATGGTCCCTTTATTTTATTCCTAACAATATGCATGAAGAATTCGAAAAGAACTTGTAAACTAGCGACGAAGAGAATAAAAGTAACTTTAGTTTTGTAGCTATGCACTCAAATAATTGTACTTTTCGATCAAATCTTAAATAGGGGAATCCTGCTATAAAATTTCCTACTACGTTTTAATAATGTTAAGTTCTAAAAGATGGATAAATATCAATTATTATTTTTGTCATTTTTAATAGCCGTTCCTTAAGATAGAATCACTACTATAGTTTTGCAAAAAACTATGTACATATGTAAATCATTGGCCTTGTAACTGGAAAGAACGATGGATCTAAACTTAGGACGAATCTATTGTTGTTGATTTGGTGGAAAAGCTTTTCGAATTAGATTCAACTTTTCATCAACTTGAATGTTGAGAACAAAAGATAGAATATATACGTATTTGACGTTCCTATATATAGTTCTCAATTCTCACCTACCAAATTCAACCTTGTGCCATTACTTGTGATTGTATCCAAAACACAGAGAACAAAATGATCAGATCAGGGGAGTACTATTCAGAAGTTGAGAAGGAGTCTAGAACTGTTGAATACCCTAATGATGCTCCTCTGTCCTTCAAGAAGGTTGTTTATGAGGAAAAAGAGGTTGAGAAACCCCACCACCACCACCACCTCTTCCACAGGCACCACCAGCAACCAGAGACTCGTGAGACTGTGAAGGTTGTAGAGTATGAGCAAGTTCCCGAGAGGCGTGTTGGAGAAGTTGTGTACGAAGAGAACAGGACAGTGTGGCCTTGAATTGCATGCTAGGGTTGACCTTCAACTTGAACTTGTTACGATGTGGCTATTTTGCTAAGAAGACTATACCTAGTATAAGTATCACCTGCGTGTGATTGGGTAAAATAAAGTGCTTCTTAGTTAGCCCTTGTGTTATGGATCATATATTATTATTTCAATAAAGCTTTGTTTGGTGTGTAAAGTACGTGTGTTTATTATGCATGCTGATATCTTTTTTACTCATATTCAAATACAACATAATCAATCAAGAAGAAAGTGTAACCTAATTAGTGAAATATACCTCGTAATAACTACGATTATTTTTTTTTAAAACTAGTGAAAAGAACACGTTTTAGAATATATCACAAAAAAGAAAAATTATTTATTCTGCGAAAAATTGAAGAGTCTCCAATGAACGTCTGATTTAGTGTGATTTGGGTCGGCATGATACTCACTTACTATATCAATTATTAAGAAACGAAAATCAATATAAATAAAAAAAAACTTTTTATATAGTCTAAATTTATATCCACAGTGAAACTAATATAATAAGTTAAAATAAATGAATATAAAAAGTGTTTTAGACGGTAATGGACGTGTCATGTGCAATAAAGTTAAAAAAAAAAAAAAGCTAAATATTATTGGGGATGATAACAAACTATATCAAAGGAAAGCACAATTCAGAACTCTTCTCCTCTTTGCCAATTATGTATATATATATATATATATATATATATATATATATAAATAAAGTTTCTATTCTTTACTTAATATCTTTTATTAGATAAATTAAAAAAATTATTATATTTATATATTAAAAATACTTAGTTATAATCAATAATTTATTAATTTATTAATATTTATTTTATGATTTAAATTACAACAATATAATATATTTGTATATTTCAATAAAATAATATAAAATATAATATTTTATTACAGTCCTCTTTTGTTTTCATTTTAATTTAATTTTTCTGTCAAACCTTTTTTGTTTATAGATTTAGGTTTGCACATTGCTTTTAGACAATACTCTTATTAGACTGTTTATTTGTTTTTGTATGTAATATTTTTCTTTAGTTTGCTTTTATGTGAATTGTGCAATGAGTTTTATGATTTATAGCCCCAAACTCATACATCTATTTTATTATATTTTTTACTATAACCATTCATATAATATAAATATTTATCTATAGTTATTATATTAGTAGTAATAATAAATGTTTAATGCAACACCCATATATCATTGTCCATTTCAATTAATTGCAATCTCACTTATTCTTTGATGATTGATCCTATAACGATGAAAAGTTTACTATTTTTCCTTTCTTTTCTAATTTATATGCTAAAAAATAACATTTATTTAGGTTTATTAACAAAACCAAATAAATAGAGTTATATATTATTTGACATAAAAGTTAGAAATATTGCATGTTAGATTAGTATTTAGTTTTTTTTTAATGGATTGTACATAATTTTTTGTACAATGTTTGGGTTTGACTTTCTAAAGAATAAGATATTTATTTTTTAAAGGTTTCAGTGATATATATATATATATATATATATATATATATATATATATATATATATATATATATATATAATTATCATAAAGACTCAATTATTCATAAAAACCTTTATTCGGATCGATTGTGTGTTTTTTTTGTCCTTCAACATGAAAGACAACTTATCCGAGAATCCTTAATTGATAGCAAAACGTTCATTAATGTCACAAATAGCCAAAACAATTGGAAGCAACAGGGTAAGGGAAACAACCCTGGCTGAAAAAATAAAAGATAAGGGAAGAGGTCGTAAACCTATCAAGGAAAACAATGTAGCTATCATAAATGAACCACAGCTAGTGAATGATATTCCAAACATGGTTTTCCATCATGGTATGAACATAAAATAGAACAACATCAACATTAAAGGAGACTCTTATGACTATGAGAAAATGAGAGAAATTGTGCAAGAAAATCAACATTATCATAATCAAGATAATATTCAATTTACTCAATATCAAATGAAATAATTTCTCAACCTTTTGCAAGAGTCTAAAAATGTTTGTACTCATAAAATCAATAGCTTTGTTGGTGAGTCATCCACTAACCCAGGTAAACATATTACACATTCTTGAATTCTTGATTATGGAGCAACTGATCATACACTACAAGAAAATCGCGTATTTTCGACGGATTTTTACCGACAGATTTGTAGACGTCAAAAGATGGATCATTACCGATCGGATATAGAATTTGGTCTTACCGACGGATTAACAATTAATTACCGACGGATATATCCGTCGATAAATTAACAATTATTTATCGACGGATATTTCCGTCGGTAAATCTATCGGTAAATTAACAATTAATTACCGACGAATATATCCGATCAAGTAAAATTGTATAATAATTACTTAATATATTCTAATAAATTAATTATTCACCTAATTAAAAATTTAAATATTTTTTTATTTAATAATTTAATTTAATCATAATTAGATTAATTTATAATAATTTATTAAATTAAATAATTTAAAAAATAAATATTTATAATTTAATTTAATCATAATTAGATTAATTTATAATAATTTATTAAATTAAATAATTTAAAAAATAAATATTTAATTATATATAAATATATTGTATTTATATATTTATTTGAATATACATTTATTTGTATATAAATATAATTTATTTTAAATTATAATTGAAAATTTTTGATAGCTTAGTGGTTGGAGTATCGACCTCGACTCTAAGGTACTGGGTTTGAATCCTTCCAGTGACAATTCATTTAATCTAAATTATAATTCAAACTTCTAAAAATATAAAAGAGGGGGAAATAAATAATAAAAAGGAAAATAAATAATAATAATATAAAGAAAAGGGGAGGGGGGTGTCTTTAGAAAAAAATTTAATAAATAATAAAAAATTTCTGACGGAAAATTCGTTAACATTTACCGACGGATATGAATCCGTCGGTAAATTTACCGACAACACAATTACCGACAGATTTAGGACCGTCGATAATCTGTCGATAATATATATTTACCGACGGATTTTCTTATTTACCGAATTTTGTCCGTCGGTAATTTCGATTTTTCTTGTAGTGATATAACTTATGATACTTGTTGTTTTGTTAGTTTTCATAAGATTGATCCTATATGTGTCAAACTACCAAATAACTCACATGTTACTGTTTATTATGTTGGTACTGTTAGAATTTTTTATCTTTTGTGCATCTATAATGTTTTATACGTACCAGTGTTTGAGTTTAACTTTATATTTGTACAACACATGACAAAATATTTGGATTGTATATTAATTTATTGCATGAGCATTGTGAAATTAAAGAAACCACCTCCTCAAAGCTACGTTGCATAATGGGCTATATTACATGGATGTTCCTTAAGATGATTCACACGTTAACACAACAATTAAAGATAATAATATTTTTAATTTTGTTGATTCAAATTTAAATCTCTGGCATTATAGATTGGGACATCCTTTAGACAAAATGCTACAAATTGTTAGTGACTGCTTATACACATTTTGAGAAAAATGTTATATATGAACCTTGTCATCTTGGTAAACAACATAAGCTCCCTTGTGCAAAAATTGATTTGATACACTTACATATACCGGGGGGGGGGTCTTTTATAACTCCTTCTATTCACGGGAACACATTTTTTCTCACCATACACTACTGCAGAATGAGCATTCAACGTCGGGTGTAGAAGGCTTTCAACGTCGGTTCCAATGACGTCGTTGAATCAGGCGTCGTTGAATGTCAAAGGATTCTACGTCGGTTCAGAATACCCGATGTTGAAAGTGTTAGACATCTACGTCGGTTAAGCAAATGTCCGACGTAGAAATGAGTAAATTCTACGTCGGTTATTGAACTAACCGACGTTGAAAGTCCTTTCTCGCTCAAGCGACCGGTGTACTCGCTTGAGCGACGAAGCCTTCAAATAAAGGGGACTCTCGGGTGCTGTTTCGCTCAAGCGAGTATACCGGTCGCTTGAGCGCTTGAGGGACGAAGCCTTCAAACAAAGGGGACTCTCGGGTGCTGTTTTGCTCAAGCGACCGACGTTTCGCTCAAGCGACTGACGTTACAACGTCGGTTAATGCAATAACCGACGTAGAATATCCCTTTTTTTAAAAAAAATTTTTGTTCTGTTTTTGTGCTACCATACACGACCTGCTATAAATCTCAATCCAGAAATCTCAGTCCAGCCAGATTTACACAATATATACACAATATACAAAAATCTCAACCAGGTCTTTTCACCTAATCACTATATATTTACACAATACACAAAAATCTCAGTCCAGCCACATTATGTACATAATACACAAAAATTATCAATCAATCCTATTATTCCTAACTACTTGTACAAACTTTTCTGCCCATTTGTTTCTAACCATGTCTATAGTATCCATAGGCAAAGGTTCTATATCTTTAAATGCCTGTAAGAAGTTCACAATAATAGAATGGTAAACCCTAAGCAATAAAAATAAAGGAATTGAATATAATAGCAAATGTCAACTTACCTCGTCCCAACTATCCTGAATGCTACCAAAAATGATGAGCCACATCCAATACATTACATAGTAGCCGCACTCGTAGCCTCCATTTTGTTTGTTACACTAAAAATGAGTAAATATGTTAAAAATAACTATTAAATTTGAACGTAAATTAATAGATAGTATAATATATATAAAGGCTACTTACTTTGATAAAATTCCAATTTGGAGTTGTGCTTTTACTTGTGTGTTTTCCATCTAATGTACTACAAACCTTTAAAGCACTATATATTGAAAAGAAGGGGCTTAGAAATAGAATAATCAAGATGTTTAGACATAATATAATAAATACTTACTCGTTTACAATATTTTTTAGCTCCATGTCCAGGTTTTCTTCCCAATGAGCGAGAACCAACACACAAGATTCTCGCTTTGGACAAATAACTAATAGCTGCCGAGTGGTTTACGTATATACACATGATTAGAATCTATTAAAAA